GAGTTCTAGCTTGTGTGGTTTCCCGGTCCTCCTTAGTTGATCGTATCAGGGAGCGGCAGTATGATGACCCTTATTTGCTTGTCCTTCGGGACAAGGTTCAGCGTGGTGATGCCAGGGATGTGACCATTGGAGATGATGGAGTATTGAGGATGCAGGGCCGGATTTGTATGCCCAATTTTGATGGTCTTCGAGAGATGATTCTAGCAGAGGCCCATAGTTCGCGGTATTCCATCCATCCGGGTGCCGCGAAGATGTATCAAGACCTGAGGCAGCACTACTGGTGGAGGCGGATGAAGAAGGATATAGTTGGTTATGTGTATAGATGCCTCAACTGCCAGCAGGTGAAGTATGAGCACCAGCGCCCGGGTGGGTTGCTCCAACAGATAGAGATTCCGGAGTGGAAATGGGAGCGCATCACCATGGATTTTGTATCTGGACTTCCACGGACCTTGAAGAAGTTTGATTCCATTTGGGTTATTGTGGACCGGCTGACCAAGTCCGCTCATTTCATTCTGTGTGTACCACTTATTCATTGGAGCGGTTGGCGGAGATTTATATCAGGGAGATCGTCCGTTTGCATGGTATTCCAATTTCTATCATTTCAGACAGAGGTACTCAGTTTACATCGCGGTTCTGGAGAGCCGTGCAGCAGGAGTTAGGCACTCGGGTGGAGTTGAGCACAACATTTCACCCCTAGATGGACGGGCAGTCCGAGCCCACTATTTAGATTCTTGAGGATATGCTCCGTGCGTGTGTGATTGAGTTCGGAGGGTCTTGGGATCATTACTTGCCACTGGCGGAGTTTGCTTACAATAACAGCTATCAGTCTAGCATTCAGATGGCACCGTATGAGGCTTTATATGGTAGGAGGTGCAGATCTCCGGTGGGTTGGTTTGAGCCGGGGGAGGCCAGGCTATTGGGCACAGAGATGGTTCAGGATGCATTGGAGAAGGTTAAGGTTATTCAGGATAGACTCCGTACAGCCCAGTCCAGGCAGAAGAATTACGCGGACAGGAAGGTCCGTGATGCTTCATATATGGTTAGTGAGCGGGTTCTGCTTCGGGTCTCGCCTATGAAAGGCGTCATGCGGTTTGGGAAGAAAGGAAAGTTGAGTCCGAGGTTTATTGGCCCTTTTGAGATCTTGAGGCGAGTTGGGGAGGTTGCCTATGAGCTTGCCTTACCTCCCAGTTTGGCCGGAGTTCATCCGGTATTTCATGTTTCGATGCTTCGGAGATATCACGGGGATCCGTCGCATGTGTTGGATTTCAGTTCAGTCCAGCTGGACAAGGACCTATCCTATGTTGAGGAGCCAGTGGCTATTTTGGACAGTCAGATCAGGAAGTTGAGGTCAAAGAACATCGCTTCAGTGAAGGTTCAGTGGCGGGGTCAGCCAGCCGAGGAGGCGACTTGGGAGACCGAGCAGGATATGCGCAGCCAGCACCCCCATCTTTTCTCTACCTCAGGTATGTTCTCTATGCTCGTTCGAGGACGAACGAATGTTTAAGTGTAGGAGGATGTAACGACCCGGCCGGTTGTTTTTGGAATTTACGCCCCGATTCCCCATTTACTGCTTCCCCTAAGTTCATTTCTGCTATTTTGGTATGCCGGGACGTTCGGTGTTAAGTTTTGGAGAGTTTTGGGACACTTAGTCCCTAAATGAGAGCTTAAGTGTTGAAAAATGGTCCATAATCAGAACAGTGTGAAGATGACCTCGGAATGGAAATACGATGGTTCCGTTAGCTCCGTTAGGTGATTTCGGGGTTGGGAGCGTGTTCGGAATGTATTTCGGAGGCTCGTAGCTCATTTAGGCTTGAAATGTTACAGTAGCTCCGTCATGTCAATTGGGATGTGTGTGCAAAATTTTAGGTCATTCGGACGTGTTTTGGTTAGGGTTTTGATCGAAAGCGTAGTTGGAGGAAACTTGTAG